TGCTGTCAGATCTGATGCAGCGCTTAGTTCTGTAGTATTCAGTTCTGGACTCTATTTTGAAGCTCCCTCCTCCATCTGGGGTACTGCTTGGAAGTCCCCTGAAGGGAAACACCACAGGGACATTACTTGAAGAAGAGGTTACTCGCTTTGTGTGGTAGCTGTAATTCTTTGAGATGTGTCCCCTTATGGGTGCTCCACTATCTACCCTCCTTCCCCTCTGCTTTGGACTGTTCCTTAGGGGATGTTTGGGTGGAGAAGGAACTGATGGCGGGTTGCCCATGCAACATACCTTTTTACTCCAAAATGAGATGCATCTGCAGTAGTCTGATAAAATGAAAGCCCTAGGTATGTCATATCTCTTCTGTATAAATATCCTACTTCTACACTGCTGTGTTGAAAGGGGTCTGACGTAATGGCAGAATACCATGTGACAGACCCAGACTAGTGGGGTCCAGGAGTCTGGTGGAGGGCAAATATACTGGTCACTGGATGAGTAGTTTTCTGTTCCCTGAGTGACCAGAGCAAGGGCTGCACTAGAGTAATCAGGAACCTGCTAGAACCAGTTAAGGCAGGCAGGCTAATTAGGACACCTGGAGCCAATTAAGAAGAAGCTTCTAGAATCAATTAAGGCAGGCTAATCAGGGCACCTGGGTTTTAAAAGGAGCGCACTTCAGTTTGTGGTGAGAGTGTGAGGAGCTGGGAGCAAGAGGCACAAGGAGCTGAGAGTGAGAGGATGTGCTGCTGGAGGACTGAGGAGCATAAGCATTATTAGACACCAGAAGGAAGCTCCTGTGGTGAGAATAAGGAAGGTGTTTGGAGGAGACCATGGGGAAGTAGCCCAGGGAGTTGTAGCTGTCATGCAGCTGTTACAGGAGGCACTATAGACCTCTGCAATCCACAGGGCTCTGTGCTGGAACCCGGAGTAGAGGGTGGGCCCGGGTTCCACCCAAACCTCCCAATTGACCTGGACTGTGGGTTCTTCCAGAGGGGAAGGTCTCTGGGCTGTTCCCCAACCCACATGGTGAATCTCTGAGGCAAAAAAATCCGCCAATAAGCGCAGGACCCACCAAGATAGAGGAGGAACTTTGTCACAACCAACACAGCTACTTATGTTCAGAGACCACTGATGTCAACACTGAGAAAGAGAGGGAGCTTTGTGGCAAGTGGAGATCATTGCAACATCCTGTCACCCTTAAAAGGAAACAGGAATGTAGCACTTTGGATTGCATCTGCAAATGGCGTTTACAGACGACAGTGCTGATGCTAGCAGTGCTCTTGGGAAAATACTTCTGTGCATAGTCTATTCCTAGAGGCAGATGGTCTCTCCTAATTGCCAGTAGCTTTTATGGTGGACCCACAGATTCAGTGATGCTTCCCAAGATGGGGGGAAGTCCTAACGGTTCTGTACAATATACTGATTTAGGTATTTTGAAATGAGTCATCAGATTAGATCTGTGAGCAGATCAGAAATGAAAACTTGTGGATTCTTAACTTTCCTCACAAATACATAGTCTCCTTCTAAACTTTTCCCCTCCATCATTTTTATAGTGTAGGTAATACCACAAAGAAGAAGCTAGTCTCAGAAGTGTGTAATACAACCCTACAATGGATAAAACTGACACCAGCATTAATTACAGTAATCTGAAATTTAGATGGGAAATCAATTTAAATATCGCTTTCATCGGTGAGCACTGAGGAGGAATTCTACAAACACCTTATCACATGGCTTCAGCTAGTTCAATATGTTACATCAAATGCACTGGGCTTCAAGCAGACAGCTCAAACATTACCTCATCCAATTCTTAAATTGGGCACGTGCCGTGGAGTTGCCTAAGGATACAGTCTATATGGCTTGAAGAACTCAGTGTAATGAACTAATGTTGGGAAAGGGGAATAACTTAATCCATAATTTAGTATTTCTATTTAATTTAGTTTAAAATTGAGCATTTATTATGTAAGTACGTGAAATGGATTGCACAAGGAATATTTTGGGTGAAGATGTTATTGCTACGTTGGTGGTCACATCCATATTCCCCACTGTTAAAAGATGGCTTTTTTTTTTTTTTTTTTTTTTTTTTGGAGGAGTTGGAAAGTTGATTGATGTTTTGACCAAAGTAAGGCTCATAATTAACAATTAGGGTGGATGGAGGAATTCCTGGAAATAAAATATGGATATGGCAGAAATTTCAACTAGTGGCCAGAATTGTGCGAAGCTTTGTCATTCCAGATAGTCTCTTTTCTTTCATCTCCTTGTATGTTAATTTCATGTACCCATAATTTGAATGTATGGATTCATTCCTTTGAACTGTGCAGTTTTTCATTTTGTTTTTGGATGTTTCCACATACTGCGCGTGCATGCATATATATATAGTATAGAGTCTTTCCATAAATTAAATAGTGCAAAACACTAAATGCAAGTGGGGGATGGAATCTGGGACCATTAGTGGCAAAACCTGAGCTTAAAGGAGTGACTCCTTTATGAGTGAGTACCAGTCCTTTATCCTTCATAAGGGCCAGCCGCTGGGGCGAGACATGATCACGTGCATTTAAGCAGTGTATGAAATGAAGTGCCCAATTATTATGGCAATGGAAACCTAGAAATACCTAAATAAATAAACCCAGGGGTCTCATTTATGTGACACAACAGTGTAGGAGTTGTGATAAAGTATATTGGGTCGTACATTTCTATTTTTCCTTTGAGTGGATTAAATGAGGCACACTGAGGGAATTATGCTATTTGCAGCATCATGTAGGCTACAGATGTAAAAAGCCTCATTCCTTGACTCTAATCCCTAAACTATAAAGTCAAATCTGTTTCTGTGCGGCGTAAGGCCATCATGTCAGATGGGCATGACTGTAGGTAGCATAGAGACCACATACTGGATGTGCATCAGGTGTAAGTATCACAGATAGGATTCCCAGCAAGGAACGTCCATATGCCGGTTCATCTTTATTTTACAGTCCTGTGTTTATAGCACAGTTCCATTACTAATCCAGCTTGGGGTGTGATTAAGTTTCAAAAATAAAGAACAGATTCCTTGCTTATCAAATAAGACCTTTTGCTTCATGCTGATTGACACGTTGGGTTAGGAGGGAAGGGTTTTGGAACACCTTTTTCCCCCCACCCCACCCCCATTCTGTGAAATGAAGGCTTCATGAGTCTGTTTTTTCCCATTCCATTGCAGGTCCCTGTAGGATCTGTCAAAACAGGTCTCTGGCACCAGGGTTTACTTTAGCTGCGCAGCGGAGTGCAAAGTCATGTTCAGTGATTCTCTGCACAATTTTTGCATGATGTTTTGCCTCAACTGGTATTAAATGTTGAGGTTTCAGGGTTCAAGCAAGAACATGGCGCTGGGGATTGTCTCCCTAGCTGCCCTCCGACAGCAACACCACTGCCTTTCGCTTGATTTCCTCAGTGGCTACAGACTGCTGTAATACAACAATGGCCCCAGCAATGCTCTTGCCTTATCTCAAATGTTTTAAATGGCTGTGATACAGTATCTCAACGTACTTTGCTTCCTTAACTACTTTTTATACGTGTAATTTTCATGTGTACTGATCTGATATCTGTGGAATGCACGGAGTGATTCCAGGTCATGCCCTTCTACTGTAGCTGAAACAGTTGCACAGACATCCAATTATTTAGTACAAAGCCTTGATAACCTAGTTTTCTTGTTCATTTCACACAGCTGAGAATGATGGCTTTCCATGTTAATGCAGAAAAGTTTAAAAGGATGGCAAATATTTTACTTTTTCTGGTATTAGCTTTATTAAATGGAAGGACACAACACAACAGAATCAGTGTGTTTGTGTGTTTTTTGGTACATTAGTTTTATGGTATTGATGATTCTATTAAACAATTACTTTTTTTCCCCCCCCTCTGGATGGTCTGAAATTGATCACTGCTTACAATTTTAGGGTTGGCTATAAAATGGGTAAGATTGGTGGTTTCTCTGTTCTATGTATAAATTGGTTATAATAAATAATTTCCATGTATATAGTGCCCTTCATCCCAAAGATCTTTATAAGGGGTGTGTGTGTGTGTGTGTGTGTGTCATTTCATCCATTACTGAAATGCAACCACCTATGGGCAACTGTTAAACTGTGTATAATAATGCTACAGTGACACTTCAGCGTAATTTTAAACTGCAGTGGGATTTTAAATAGGCGGAATAATTCCTAGTTTTGATTTGGAACTCCCTCCACGCTTGCTGAAGAATCGTGGAATTTTTAATAATGGTGAATACCATGCTATTAGATCTTCTCTGAAAGGCATTATCAACAGCAGTTCTCAGAACCCCTTAGTACTAATGGGGAGAACTGTTCTGTGCTGACTTGGAGGCAAGAACATCTCCTGTTGGACAGTGTCTCTAGCTTCTTGTAGCTGCTGTGAATTTATGGAGGTCTTCATCCAAATAGTGACGTAGCTTGACCCTAGTGAGTCCTGGAAGTTTCTGAACATAACAGACCTATCTATACAGAGACAATTGGCCATTCTTTAATGATTTTTCTTGACTCATAGTCCATTGTGCAATGCAGTGTTCCGTTCCCTCCCACACTGCTTCCCTCCAGCCCAGAAGAGGCTGCATTTTGGTGGTTCTGTATGAAGCAGTACACGTATGTGTGAAGCACTTTGAAATTCTTTAAGATGTAATATTGTAATGAACTAGATACAGTAGTGTGGATGTGCGTATATATAAAATTCAATCACGCCAATGTCCTCCAGTGGATGTGGATTCAGAACTGCTCAGTGGTGTGCAATAGACTCAGTGTTACTAACAGGGGTGCTCTGTTAGCTTAGGTAGTAGGGATCTGCACAGGACTATCTGAGTTTTAGCTCCACTGCTGCCATGAAGTTCTGAGTGTCCATCATAAGAAGTATAATGACTGCTGTGACATCCTAGGTCACTATAGATTTGTTATTTTTTAGAGTTTTGAAATTGCTTGTATTATTGAGGTTTTCTTAATGTTTTATGGTTTCTTTGGTTGTTTCCTTCTAGCTCAACAGAATTCACCAAAAATCCATGAGGGCTGGTGGGCCTATAAAGAGGTGGTCCAGGGAAGCTTTGTTCCAGGTAAGTGCAATTTTAAAGTCTTAGCTTTTAATATATAGTTTTGTTTTTACATTACACAGTGGACAAATACATCTGTACACACCAATGCATTAGAGTGAATGATGTAAAGTTTTTATTGGTGTGTCAGCTGAAGAACATTGCTCTCTTCTTTCAGCAGAAGGTGCACAGTTACTGATGCCATTGTTATCTCTTGGTGGTGACTGTTCTCATGCGACTTGCTCAAAATTCACATTCAGTTCACTTGTGAAGAAAAGAGAGGACTGTTAAGTCTGACTGTAAATTGGCTGAATTTAGCATATGGATACGAGACTGCGTTAGGCGAAGCAATTTCTACACACCTAATAGTAAACTAACAAAGGCAAAGTGAGGAAAACATAACCCTAACATGTAAGCGTCTAGTATTTTATTATGCAAGCGTCTTTTATTTCAGTAAAAAAAGAACACCATGGAAAAGGAACGTTGAGTAAGGCAGTTCCGCGAAGCGATTACGTTAGTTATTAGTAAACAATCAATGTGAGTGTAGAACAGGCTAGATGGATCTAAGCAAGCAGCACCTTGGGAATATAGGCAAAAGTAAAATTCAAATCAGTTGAGTCCAGGTATAAGCAAAACATTAAAAATAACCCAGAAACACAAAAGTACAGGGTAGTCAGAATAATGGGATACAGCTTCAGTAGAGGCCCCAGTGGTAAGATACTGTAAGTAGCTTAAGCTTAAAGATGAGAATTTTTCTTTCTCCTAACTGTTATATATGTAGAAATACATATGACATGTTGTGGGCTGTTCAGTGGTTGAAGTGTGCGTGATAACTGGGTGGGGAAGGTAAGAGTGAAAATTGCAGGATGCATCTCTGTTAGCAGGTGAGACAATTTTAACCTGTATTTGACGCAACAACCTCAGGAAATGTTTTCCTCGAAACAGATAGAACTCCCTGTAATGACTGGCGCTTAATTAATGATGCTACTGATGGAACGGTCTGATATATGTGCTGCTTCTGTAATTGTTAGTTCAGTAGGACTGGAGACTTAAGGGTAAGGTAAGATAAATGGTTCATGGAGCAGGGGTGTTCATTATGGTTCAGTTCTTTAACCTCCTGCTATCACTGTGGACAAAGGTATGAAGTAGATGGCTAAAATGCCAGCTGTTACTATTATTGTTACTATATTTATTTTAAGTGTCAGTCTATTTTTTTAATATGCTTCAAATATATGTATGCCCACATTTTTCTGATGGAATCAGGTCACAGCAGGGACAGTGTTTTATGACACTATCACAGTACCAAAACTTCCACATATACCTTTTTCTCAGAGAGCTAGAAAATCTCAAGTTGTGCAAGGCCTTTTTTTTTTCTTTTTTCTTTTTCGCAAGAATCTGCAATTTGATCAGGTATCAGATTTCTCCATTGTTATGGCAACAGCTATGATTTGAGGATCAGATTAGAAATAACATCCCAAGGGTGCTAAATTATCTTGATGTATGTGATAGTATAAATGAAACAGAACCTATTAAACCAGGGATTTCTGGACATGAAATCCATGCACCATACAAAAAGCAGCATCTGCAGACTTTAAACTTAATTACATACTGATGTGGTGTAAAGCAACTTTTCAGAGTCCTTGGAAGTTTTTTTTTTCTGGACCATCAAGCACCTGGAACTATATTGTTATGCATACTCAGATGCTAAGGTCAGTAATGGAAAATAACTTGGAAGTTATAACAACCTGTATTCAGCAGAGAACTTCAACTTGGCTTTCCCTACTATGCAGATTGCCTAGCAGGCCCATAATAGATGTAGGATGGTTCTCTTCCCAATACTTATGTGGGAATCGTTAAGAATGAGACTCTGCCATTCTGTACTTTCTAAGCATTCCAGTTTAGCTTCTGAGTTGAAATAGTTTAATTGCTAATAAACTAATTCATGTAAAGAAACCAATTTGATCTGAAGCCAAATAATGCTGTTATATACTGGTGAGGTTTCAGTCTTTAAGAGCTCAAAATATCTAATCCAGAGAGCCTTCCAAATACCCAGAGCCGAATCAGGAGGAGATGGCCATTGTTGGAGACACAAAGAGTTAAGAGCTGCCAGAACAGCATGGAGAGAGACATCCGTCTGGAAGTCTTGGCCTATTTAACAGATCCCCTAAATATTCAAAAAATGTTGAATATTGAACTTAACTAAGGATATGTCACCAGAAAAAATAAATTTGGCCCAGAAAGACAAATATGAACTATTACGTTTAATGGCTCATTGAAATAGCACGCTGGAAAGTAAAGCAGCACAGATCACTTAGGTGCACTGGTTATAGAGAGACTGTCAGGTTTCTTCCTGAAACTTGACACCTCTGACAAGGTCAGGCTGCAAAATCTTATTGGGGGGTTCCAGAAAAAAGGCTGGGATCAAATTTTCAAATGTGTCCAAGTTCCATTTTCCAAAGTGACTTAGGAGCTTAAATCCCATTGATTTTCAGTGGGGTTTAGGCTCATAAGTGTCTAAATGACTTTTGAACATGGGGGACTTAGGCTGCTCTGTCACTTAGTATCTCTTGAAAATGTTACCAGGGATCATACTTTGTCACACATTGTATTTATTATCAGCCAGCTAGTGCTGACATCAGTCAGAGAACTCCAAATAATTATGTCCATGATTTCAAATGTTGATGTCTAAAAATGGGCTTTTTAAATGCATATTTAGGTGCCTGAATTGAAATTAGAGGCCTGATTTTCAGATGTGCTCAGCACTGAAAAACGTTGCCTCTGATATCTATTTAGGGACCTAAATATGCATTTAGGAGACTAACATAAAACACCCAAGTTAGAATATTCTGGTCCTAGATCTTTCAATGTGATATTCTGTTTCAGATATGTTTTAAGTAGAGCACTGTTTTAGTACAGTAGATAGTCTGCATTCATGCTCCAGCTCTTACACAGTTTTATCTTTGGTGAGTACTTTGAAAAATTGAATCATATTTTATAATCCATTTTTGGTGTTGCTTAAAAGGATTACAGACCATCCCACAGAAGGCACCCTTTTTTTCCCTCCACTAAAAGCCAAAAATCTGTTGGGATTTAAAATAAAGCAAATGAAATAGAAAGCAAGAAATGCTCTGAAATTTTACTTAATTTAAGAACTAAAGTACATTCAACTTGAAAGAATGTGCAGGAATGGAGAAGTAGAGGAGACTTCTCTTTATGCCTGGGGTATTTGCATAATAATCCACGTTACACATTTTTGATTGATGTTGCATGCTGGAAAGAGTCAGGAGTGCAAAGTAAACTTTGTAACAAAGGTTTACTGTAAACACACACATGATAATAAATATTATTTGATGTGGGCGGTTTGGTTTTGCAGCCATTATGAACTTATCCCACAGCACTAAAATAGAACAAGCAATTTTGGTTTAGCAGAAACTCTAATGAATATCTTTGAGCCAAATCCTGCTGCACCTCCTTCAGTCCAGCTCCAGAAGGCCGTAAGCACAGCAGAATCTTTATGCTACCCTGTGTGTGTGTGGTGCATGGAGTCTCCTCACTCTGGTCTCCACTGCAGCTTTCTCACAGCACTGTGCAAAAGAGTTTGGGTAAGGATGAGCCACAGAGTAAGTCAGCTTTGGTGACTCTGGGTTTGTGATTGTGACGATTCACTTGCCAAAATCCCTGCCTTGTGCTGCAGCTTCTATTAGATTATGAGGGCTGTACTAATAGCACTAGTGTTTTTTTTACCAGTTGGAGGGTTCTCTGCAGAGTTATGTTGCACAGTGGTTAGGAAACTAGCCTAGGACAAGGGAGACCTGGGTTCGAGACCCTGCTCTGCCAGTCTTCCTGTGTGACATAGGACAAGTCACTTAATCTTGTCCT